TAAATATTAAAACAGAAACACAAAATCTGCTGGGAGACAAAGTAGGCAGAAATCTTGCTGATACAGGGGTAGGCAGACAGTCCATGAACAAAAATCAAACTGCATGGGAAATACTTCCCAGAATCAACAACTTGGATCTTACCTTATTAAAATGTTTTTGCATACCAAAAGAAATCTCCAACAGAAGGAAAAGAAAGCCCATTAATTGGGACAAAATTTTAGTCAACTGTCCCTCAGACAAAGGACTTCTATCCATATAAAGAATTAAAAATAATCAGGCTCCCAAAATTCAATGACCAATCCAAAAATGGGCATCTGAGATGCATACAGACTTCCCAGATAAAGACATACAAATGGCAAATAAATATGTGAAAAAATCAGCATCATTGGTCATTCAAGAAATGCAACTTAAAACCACACTGAGATTCCATCTCACTCCACAAAGAATGGCCAGGATCAAGAAAACTACCAACAACAAATGCTGGAGAGGCTGTGGGGAAAAAGGAACTCTCCTGCACTGTTGGTGGGAGTGTAGACTGGTGCAATCATTGTGGAGGTCAGTCTGGAGGTTCCTCAAAAAGCTGGGATTAGAGGTTCCATTTGATCCAGTTATCCCACTCCTAGGCATCTTCCCAGAATTGAGACCATCATACCACGGTGATATAGGTGCACCATATTTAAAACAGCACAAATTGTAATAGCCAGATCTTACAAACAACCCAAATGCCCATTAATAGAGGAAGGGATAAAAGGGTGTGATATTTTGTACAATGGAGTCCTACTTGGCTATAAAGAAAGACTTATGGAGGCTTTTATAAGTCAAAGGATGAGACTTGAGACCATGCTCATCAGTGAAATAAATCACACTCACACGTATAAATACTATATTATCTCCCTCGTGTAAAAACCTGAAAGAGCAAATACAATCCAAAATCTACAATAAATACTGTCTAAGGGTAAGAAACTGCTCAAAGGAGAACAGTAACTGGGGTGGGGAGAGGAGGAAAGGAGGGGGAAACCCCACATAAATGTGTAAATGTGCACTTCAGAGAGCGAAGATGACGGCACTACTGATTCTGTTAGTTCTTGTAACACGACAGTTAACACTTATAGGATTAGGTCAATTTGCCTGTCCATATCTGGTAATCTGACTCTTTTGAAGGTAACTATGCAAAATAACAACCTTTGTTAAGTTCCTACCATCTTGTTTTGAAAACCTATATTATTATTGCTTTGAGTATTTTGTCATTGTTGTGTCTCTTTTGTTTCTTGTTTTACTTGTATTTAATTTTGTTTTGTTATTTTTCCCTCTTTAAAATAAAAGAAAAAAGACAAAAAAGCAAAGGAAACAAAAGTACCTGTATAATGGAAAAACCTGGCCAACACTAGCTTAATCAAGTGTTCAAAAGTAATAGCAATAGTAATAGAACACACTGAAAATCATGCTGTCTCTTTTGATACGTTGAGAAGCCAACAGTACTGTCTCTGTGCTTTTCCTTCCAAAAACGTATGTCTTGGGTCTAATTATGAGGAAGTATCAGGTCCAATCCAATTTGATGAGCATGCTACTCGATAACTAGTCTTTAATCTTTTAAGGAATCAGGCTGAACCTTAAGGAAAGATCAAGGAGCACCTAATTGCAGGAGACCAGAGAGACAAGGACCGTTAGGCGCCTTTGTGATCCTGGACCGGGTCTCCCGTACGGGATTGTTGGCGACAGGGAGCTGCATCTGAGGGCGAAGTGCTGAAATCATGTTGGTTCATTCTCTGATGGTCGTACTGCAGTCACAGAGGAGAAGGTCCTTGTTTTGGGATCGCGTATTAAAATACTACAGGAAGACGAGGCCCTGTGTCAATAATACCTTCAAGTGGCTTTGTTTTTGTCCTGTAACTTTTTGGGAAAGTTTGAAATTCTACCAAAAGAAAAAGAAAAGAAAAGCATTATTTCCTCCAGATCATCTGTTTTCATTAAAGAAGAAAGGTTTTCCAAGACCCAGCTCTATGGATAAGCTCCCTGCAAGCTCTCTTGATGCAAAGCGGGCTGGGAAACTGAGTTCACATCCCAGGAAGCAAATCTTTAGAGAAAGGAAGAAGGTGGCGGCTGGCGGCGTGTGGGAAGCCAGTGGTGTCTGCCCACCTCTGAAGTCTCTGTGCTCGATCTGGACCATTGAGACCATCGTGTGCTGGCAAATTGAATCAGCCAAAGGCCCTAGCTTGCTTGTTCCTTTCCTTTACAGAAACAAGACAAGACTATTCAGAAAAGTTCACGGCTCGTTCTACATTGTAAACGTGACCAAAACATCACACTGCAAGGGATGGATAGGTAAGGTTTGTTATATGCGTGGATAAAAACGCCACAGTGAGATCCAGTGAGAAAAGGAAGCTTAAAAATAAACCCATCACATTTTATCCCATATGTGCATTTATTATATTTTAGAAGTCTGGGGCAGTAGGATCACAAGTTTGAGCCCAGCCTGGGCAAATGAGTGACTTATGGGGATACTGTCTCAAAATAAAAATACTTTAAAAAGGGCTGAGGTGCAACTTAGTGTATATCATCAAAAATAAACAAATACATAATAAAACTTCATAGGGGAAGCTTTTCACAAGCAAATAAGTACAACATGGTTAAAACAGTGCAGGACTCCAGGCAGCCTGGGGCACCGTGAATGCCATGGTGAGGGTGCCTGAAAAGCCCAGAGCAGCGCAAGGCCAGGGAAGCTTCCAGAGGCGGGGCGTGGTGGGGATGGTAGCCGCTCGTCCTAGGTGAGGTGCTCACTATGCAGCTCAGGTCGGCCTGGAGCTCACAGTCCTCCTGCCTCAGCCTCCTGAGTGCTGCAGTCACAGGCACGAGCCCGGCTTTGGGACTGCTCTTGGAAGGAGACTTGCAGCAGTTCAGCCATCAGTGCTGTGTAGGCAGGACCAGATGTCAGCAAGGGGACTTACTAAGGGACTGTCACCAGCCTTGGGCAGGAAATGCGGAAGGTGGGACACGACCTGGGGCTGCAGGAAAGAAAGGCCGTAAAGAGGCTCTCAGAGAGGCTTAGGGCTCCCCCCGCAAGGACAAGAGTCAGGAGAAGGGAGGAAGGCTCTAGTGGCGCTCAGTGGGTCTGTGCTGGGTGGTCACTCCTTCCTGCATGTTTGAAGGCTCTTCATTGCTACTAGGACAGAGACCCATCTTTTTCATCACCCATAAAGTTGGAGCAGGCTGGCTGTGTCCGCTGTCATCCCTCCTCAGTCGCCTCCATCACCCTCCAGCCTTCTGCCACACAGAGCTCCTTTCAGCCCTGCCTGTCTGTGATCACGTGCCTCCCTGTCTCCAGCACAGCAAACAGGTGCTGAATGAACCTTTTTATCAGCTTCTACCACTGGGCCTTTGCACATGCCACTCATGTACGCATCCTTAACCGCTGCTCTCTTCTCGCCTTCTTCACTGGCTCAGCATTGATTCATCCTTTAGATTCTAATTCAAATGTTCCCTTCCTGGGACACAGCTCTTGAAATTCCTAGCTAGGTCCAATCTCTCTTCTAATGCTCCATAATATCGCTAACCTCCATTTAACGGCATCCACAGTAGCTATAATTTTACAGTGACTTTGGGGAGTTTTGTCTGAGGCCTATCTCCTCCCAGGTTATAAAGTCCACAGGGCAATGACTGTTGGTTTTTCAGGCATGTTGTGTTCCCTGCATTCAGCAGGAGAACTGGAACTCTGCAGCACTCAGCGACGAGCATTTGTGGGATGAATAGATGAATGGATGGATGGATGGACCACTAATCCACAGGTGCTTCAGAAAAGGGCCCGAAAAGCAAGTTATACTTGAGAAGTATTTTACAGAATGCATAGAATTAGACAAGATAGAGCTAAAAACCAGCCCAGACTGAGCAGAAGTCTGGGGTAGGGGCTGGGGACTGATCAGAAGAAGCCTCTACTGTCCAGGGAGACAGATATCTAGAGAGATAAAAGGGTTCCAAGAAATCAGAAACATAATCAACTTTGGAAGGATTCAAGCATCCACGTGAACACTTGGTTCTTCACAGATAGTAGATGGCCATGGAGCTCGGGTAAGGTGACGAGGGCCTCACACGTGACTCTGAGAGGACAGAATTCCTGTGAGACTGAGGCCGGATGGAGTGGGCAGCTGAGGCAGGAAACGGCCACTGTGGGAGGCGCTGGGAACATTCCATCCAACTTGAGAAACACACGCATGGGAATCTAAGGCATGATGAAAGCAACTCTAGATGGCAAAATTAAAGACACTTGGCCACCGATGGAGCCGTTTGAGAGTCGAGACTGCTGGTGACTGAGTGTGAACTCCTCGGATGGTGAGGATGAACCTTCTGAACTTTCATGGTGAGAGGTGGCAGGAGCACGCCTGCCATGGGTTCGCCAGCCCTGTCTTAGGACCTCTGTGGTTCTCAGACTTACAGCACTTAAAAAAAATGACACCTTTGTTTTCTTAGACATATGGGAAGGAGATTAATTTGAGGGATGGAAATATCCAGGGAGATCAGAAGACGGAGAGAAAACCTGTCCCAGTGTCACATTCTACCTGGCTCGCTCCGTGGTCTGCTGGCAACAGTTAAGGGCTGGGAGAGGGCTCCTAAACAGCCTTAATTATACAGATCTGGGCATGCTGGCCCTGGTGTCCTGGCAGTGGCTATTGGTTGAGCCTGAGTGGCTCTGCCTGGCAGCTCCAATACTGCCTGTCCCACGCCAGCGGGTCACTCATGGGGCCTGGAGGGTGGCTGAGCTCCTCGGTTCTGGGAGTCTGCTCTTGGAGGCTCCATGGAAGAGGAACATACGTTTCCACCAGAGACCTGGGAGTATCTGCAGTGGGAACCCGGGGAGGGATGTGTCCCCAGAACTGGGTGCCTGGCGGAAATCCTGGGACACTGGCAAAGGGATGCTTCCTGACAGCCCACGCCCCTGCAGGACCGTGGGAAAGTGGGTGCTGCAGAAGTGCCATCTGTGGTGTAAGTCATTAAACACAGGTGCATGTGGAACTCAGAAAAATTTTATTATTTCATCATGCCAAAATGTTGTTTATTTAAAATCAATTTCCACTTGAGAAAAAGGCAACAAATGGCAGTTGGGGTCTGAGCCTGTCCCCAGAAAGGCTCCGTGTCTGACAGCGCTCAGGCCGCCCAGGAGGCTGGTGACTCGGGGCGCACGGCCTTCTGCGGCGTTCTCCAGTGCTCCCTTGCAGGATGCTGCTTGTGTCTTTAGTTGGTTGTAGTTGGGGAAAAAAACAACAGGAAAAGGAAATCCATTCTAAGACTTCTTAAAATATTTCTGGTTTTACAACTACTGACCCTCGAAGATCTACCATCACTCGACCTAGAATACATAAGCGCCTGCTGGGAAAAAACACTGGCGATGCTGCTTGCCGTGGTGGCATTAGCCTCTCGGCATGGCCGCAACTTCTTGGTGGCATCTGATGACTGTGCAGGTGGGAAGTCGTTCAGGAGCGCTTGGACTTGCTGCAAGTCGGGCACAGGAGCTGACCCTTGGTGACAATATATGCCCGGCCGCTCAGCAGCTGCTCACAGCCCTCGCAGACAAAGTGCTTCCGGTGCCAGGCCAGGTCTTCCACACGCTGGTAGTCCTCTGAGAATATGATCTGGGGGTGGGGGGGGGGGTAGAAAACACGAGTGACTCCATTTCTGCCACAGGTAAAGATACAAGTCTTGTGATGGGGGCTCATCCTACCCTGATCTTACTTTGGTCTTTAGAAGTCTTAATGGAAAAACCTGACATACTGTAGGGTGGTCAGTAGAGTATTTGGTGAGGGTCATGGTTGCACCTTACGTTCTCGGGTCAAAAAAAAATTCTCTGGTGTAGGCAAGTTTTATTTATCTAGCATCTGAGATAGCTTTTTTTTTTTTTTGAAAAATCCAAAGGCCAGTTGTGTCTTGAGATGGAAGGACACAATCCATTGAAGACAGCTTAGTAACAGGTAGGCTGTTGATGGCCAATCTTTAAGAGCAAAAACATAGAGGGTCCTTGGGCTTGGAATAAAGTGCCACTTAGGAATATTTACACAGAATATTCCAAGGGGCTTAGGAAGAACGGAATAGCAAACCGGGCTGATTTGGAGACAAGAGGAATTGGCTATGAGTTTTCACTAGATATTTGTCAGCTTTAAGACTGGGCAAATTTAATCTTTCTGTGCCTCAACTGCCACATCTGTAAAACGGGGAACACAAATACTTGCCACCCATAAGGTTTTAAGAGTACGGGATGAGCTATTGCACATGAAATGCTTGGAACCGTGTCTGACCCAAAGACAGCCCCATGTAGTTACCGTGGGTTTTTCTCAAATGTGAATGGGACATTATGTTATCATGTCTTAAAAGGAGCACTGTGAGACATGCATGACATACACCCAAAGCTTGGAGCTCATTAATGACCTTAATAAATGATGGAGAATCCTGACAGCACCTACACTGTGGTCCCCTCAACCCTGAGGTTATCACTGGATCACACAGTCACTAGGTAAGAGGATTATGGGAGCATCGTGCAGAAGGTGGCCGACGGTGAACTTGGGTCAGTGTGGAGCAGACATCTCTAACCTCCGCACATGCTTCTGGCTCCAGACACACGACAGCACAGCCTAGCACTATGCAGGCCCAATCTACTGAGAGCTGCTTTTCACGCATTCCCATATGAGGCCTTGGAGCCCCTTCACAGCAACCACTAGGCTGCATTCCATGACTACACAGTACAGAGGATGTATCATGCTGCACCGTGGCAAGACCCGCTGTAGCTGCCATCTGTTGGTCACTTGGGCAGGCCAGGGTCACACTTATTTATCCACACAGGCTCTCACTTACCCCACCGGGTCTTCCTTAGGCTGGGTGGTCTCATTCCAACTACAGAAGCAGTGGCACCAAGGCACAAGCATTGGTAACCACGGGGCCACAGACACGACTGCAGGGGTGAGCCTGGTGCACCCCCAGGGAACTTCTGAGCACTTGTTAAGTGCCAGGCACTGTGCCAAGGCAGACTTGTCTGACCCACTGCAGGGCCCGTGCTAGGACACCAGCATCAGCCCCATTATGCAGATGGGAAGACAGAGAATGAGGGCATCCAGGGAAGAGTGCCTCAGTTTCCTACCCTGTGGAGCATCATGAAGGCTCCTACTCCCCAGCCTTGCCCTCCGACCTGCCCACCTCATCGCAGCCGGAGCATCGGGGCCGCAGGCTCTCGCAGTAGTGGCGGCCACACCAGGGCGCACCGTCCTTCCAGAAGTAGATGAGGTCCACCAGCGGCTCGGAGCAGCGCACACACACGAAGCAGGCTGGGTGCCACTGCTTGCTGTAGCCAGCCCTGTCCGCGTAGACCACGGGGCTGTCACTGGGAGTCGCGCCCTTGCAGAGCTCGCAGACCTGCACGGTGGGGGAGGAGCACACGGGTGCCAGTTTGCAGGGTGCCTTGAGGGGACCCTGATAGCAGGGGTTCAGCCCCAGCTCCCCAGCACTGCTTCCTGCATGCCTTTGTGCAAGTGGACGCACAGAGGACCAGAGAGTGGCCCTCAGTGTTGTCGCCTACAAGGGAGGATAATGGGTTGTCTCCCTAATCGGTGGTTTGTGAGATCTCAGGGAAGTTTTCAGTTTATGCCACTGCTTCTCAGATCTCATGATTCCCAAGTAGTCTCGAACACTCCACAAAGATTGTATTCATGTCGGTAACTGTGATGCTATTTACTATTAGAGAAGTTACACTTCAGAACAATTTAAATCTTGATTAATTCACTTAATAATAACAACAAACATATAACGTGCTAACAGATATTTTACTATGAAAAATAACGGGAATGAGGGTAGTTCTATGGGGGAGCACATGCCTGGCACACATCAGGCCTGGATTCAACCCCCAGCAATACCTAAATAAATAAGTGAGAAACCAAAACCACTATTTTTATTGTTGTTGTTTTTTGCCTTTTCAAGACAGGGTCTCATTATGCTGTTCAGACTGGCCTTGAACTCACTTTGTAGCCCAGGCTGGCCTCTGATTTGCTGTGATCCTTCTGCCTCAGCCTCCCAAGTGCTGGGATTACGGGCATGTGCCACCACGCCCACCCAACTTTAAAATTTTTTTTTTTCCAGTACCAAGAATTGAACTCAGGATCTTGTACTTCCCAGGCAGGTGCTATGCCACTGGCCCTAACACTATATTTTTTTAAAACTGAAAATTTTTAAAAACAAAACTACTAAGTAATGCAGATGATGCCAGGTACATGGATTAGAAGATTCAGTCCTATCATGATAGCAACTGCTCCCAAGCTGATTTATAGATCCAACATTTCCATAAAAATCCTAGCAGGCAAAAAACAAAATAAAAAATTTAAAAATTACTTTATTGTTTTATAAGTCTTTCCGGTGACTTGCTTAAGACATGGCTTTCTTTTTTCTTTTTTTGGTACCAGGGATTAAATTCATGACCCCATGCTTGCCAGGCAGGTGCTTATATCACAGCCCCGACAGTGGGTTTCCATAACCCCTTCTGCATGCTGTCATTTGCTTTATGCCATTGGTGGAAATACACTGATATCTGGCTTCACACTGATACATAGCTGGACAAGAAGAGTGGAGTATTTGAATAGTCTTCTGAGATTACTGTGAATGTTTCAAAAGTGGTAGCTTTTCCAAAGATAGTGGCAATGTGGAATCTAAAATCATTAATAATAAGTAATGAATCTTTCCAGATTGGTTATAATAAAACACTTTGTCACCTTGTCCTTTGAATGAATCTTTTGCTCATGCACGATTATTTTTTTAATCAGCTTTTAATTTTTGAAAGGTTTTAGACTTATAGAAAAATTATCAAAGTCCCAAGAATGTTCACATATACCACTGTTTTTTCTGTTCCAAATGTATTATATTAACATGGCATTTTTGACATTTCATTACCCACATTGACAGACTGTTAACCTCTGAGCTTTGTGTATTCTTAGATTTTACCTCCTGCCCCTTTCCTAGTCCCACGTCTCTCCGGCATTCCGTGTCCCACACAGTCATCTGTCTCCTCGGCTCCTCATAGAGGGGACAGCTCTTCACACCTTCCCTGCTGTTTTGGGCACCCCTGCTGGTTCTGGGAGCCATCATCTGGTATTCTGTGTAACCTTCCTCAGCTGGAACCTTTGTGGTGTTACTATGCTTCCACTGGGAGGAGAATTCCAGAACAAGAAGCTGTTCATGGAGCACATGCTATCATGGTCCTTGCTCTCCCCAGGACTCATCACCATTAGTACTGACCAGATCCTCGGGGTGGGGGGCTGGCGGCTGAGCAGGGCTCATCAGGCCTCCCTTCCCTGCTCCCCGTACTGTCCTCTTTGGCAGGAAGTTACTCAGGGTATCTGCATGAACTGTTCAGGGTCTTTTCATGATTCTGAGCCACAGATCTCCCAGGGCTTTGGGAATGACCGATGACCTACTCTCCGGGACTCAGCAGTCTTGCGTGCCATATTCGTTTGCTGTCAGTGTGAACGGGTGTGCTCCCCCAAGGCCTCTGCTCACTCGTCCTCCCCATCCGGGCTTTGTCTGCAGGAATAATCCCCCTGGCTGGCTCAGCTACCATGACACAGGGGAAGCGCCCTCGGGCTGTGCCTTAGCCTGAGTTTTGGTGATGACTGTGTGGGGAAGCAGAGTGCGCCTGGGGGACTGGAGAGTGGCAGGGCAGGGTCTCTCTGTCCTCATTCCCCAGCAGCAGCGAGAACTCTGGGACGCCCCATCACTCACACCTTCATTCACCCAGCGCACCTTGATGACTTGCCTGTTTTCATTGGCCGAGGGACAGAATCCTGACAGTGCTACTCCGTGAAATCTGTCGAGCCACAGGAGTCCTTCTCTTTCCCCAAAGCCCCAGCAAGGAGGAGGCTCTTGTGCCTTTCAGGCTCATCTGTGTGCAGCACTGAGCTTGGAACCGCATACTCACTGCTAATACCTCTTACCAAATTCAAGTTACTTCTCCTTGTAGGGTTATTTTTATATTACAGAAACCATTACTTTCCTTCCTAAAATCATTAAAACTGAGGCTCGGAAAGCTCTACAATTTACTCAATAAAACACAGCAGACAGGGGCAAAGCCAGGATTGGAGCCTGACCCCACAGCAGTCTATTTCAGAAAGCGAGGCCTCCCATGGAGTGACATGTTTTCTCCCTCAAAGAATGCAATATTTCTCATTAGCAGACTTGGAGGGTTTTAAAAAGAAATACTTAAAATGAAATATTTTGAGTTTTACAAATAAAAATCTCATGGAAACTGGTCCCGCGCCTCCCCTCTCCCCGCCCCAGTAGTACTGGAGGTTGAACCCAGGCCTACTGAATTACATCATCAGCCTGTCTTTTTAATTTAATGGGTTTTTTTGTTTTGTTTTGTTTTTGCTTTGAGACAGGGTCTTGCCAATTCACTTGGTTGCCCAGGCCAGGATCAAACTTGCCTGTAATCCTCCTGCCTCTGCCTTCTGAGTGCTAGGATTACAGGTGTGCACCACCACATCTGGCTTTGTTTTCTTTTACACAAAATGCCTATATGAGATCATCTGTTTTGGCTCTTGGCTCACCAGGCCTGAAGCATTTACCACCTGAGCCTCTGCAGATATATTTGCTGACCTTGGCCTGCAGATGGTAATTTTAGCCTTCTAAGCACCAAAATAGAAAGTGATTGTTCTACCATGTGAAGACAGGGAGGGTGACATCTGCAGCTCCCCCAGAGACCCATGTGTTGAGGCTTGGCCTCCAGTCCATGTGCCGCTGGGAGGCCTGGGACCTGTAAGAGATGGCCCTGGGGGAAGCTGAGGCATTGTGGGGAGCTGGTCCCTTCCACCTGCTGTGCTTTTGGCTGTTACAGCGGCTCTGCCACACGGCTGCTTCAGCTGTGCTGTCCTGGGCCACCACAGGCCCAGAGCAATGGGGACAGTGACCATGGACTGACTGCAGCCTTTAAAGCTGCAAGCCAAATGAAGCTTCTTTCTTTATAGTTATCTTGGGTATTTGCCACAGTAAACAAGAGCTGATATAGACTGAAACAGTACTTTTAACTTACATGCTTTAACATGCCCTTAATATACTTATTACTTAAAATACTTTCATATACCAAAGAGGAAACAATTAAAATGCTATAAATTAGGGGGGAAAATCCCTGAACGACAAAGAATTCCTAGGTGCTGCCTGGTGGCATCTGGGGCACAGATGAATCTGCTCAGTGGGGAAGGACCCTGAGCTAGCTCCCCACTACCTGCCAGGAGCCCTGAGAACAGGCTAGGTTTGGGGCTTTGCCACTGCCACTGAAGATGGATGGCACCATCTCTCACCTACAGACTGTGCCTAGAACCCACTGGGTCTAAACCAACAGTAAGTGATGGCTCAGCATCCATCCATCAGCAGAGCTGGGAACTGGGAGCCATTAGCCAAAGCCTGCTTGGGTACGAGTGAGTGTTCTGTCTGTCTGGCTCTGAGGCTCATAGAATCAGACTTCCAGCCCCTTTCCACGCACACAGAAGCCACTTGCTGTCGCTCCGTGGACTACACCCTCCTGGTTGCACCAGGATGGGTTGGTGCAGCCCACTCTACACTGTCAGATGCTGCCCAGTTTGGAAGTAGAAGAAACAGAGGGATGAAAATGTACCTTGACAAGTCTGGGGACCAGGGCTGGCACCCACCCGTGGATAGAGGGAGGGGGGAATGAGGTCACAAAGGCAGCTTCAGGGACGGCAGAAGGGTGAGTCCACAGTGGGAGTCAGAGCTTCACTCTGGCAGCAGAGAGCCACTGTGGAGTGCTGAGGTGAGGAGTGTGGCGCTCTGTTTGGAGCTGCAGGGAGTTAACTGGTGGCTGTGTAGAGGGAGAACGGTTTGCTTCGTGGAGCTTGGTCCCAGCCTTCCCCTTAGTCTGAAGACGCTCAGTCAAGTCCTCCCTGATGAATGTATCTTCTTCCCTGCGTCTTGGCCCTGTGTCCCATGGCTGGTAACGAGCCCTGTGGTCACATCTCAGCAACCAATATTCTCTTCTTGCCTCTGAGCTTTTTCTGTGTCCGCTCTCTTGTCATAGGAAAGGACTAAGAACCTGGGGTTGGGCTGGTTCTGTCAGACGATTGACCTCTAAGCCACTAGGCACAAGCTGGCAACCCAGAGTCCGAATGCTCAGCCTAACTTAACTCATATCCTACCACGAGCCTGGCACCCAGGTCATGGTTTCTAAATCCCAATGAGCTACTGAGTGGAGCGCCTGCACCAGGCTGCTTGGGCCTAAGGCTATGGGACTTCGAGCTAGTTACCCAACCTCAGTGTGCCTCAGGCTTTTCACCATCAAACAGGGATACCAAGGATGGAAACAGCACCAGGTTGCTGGCATGGATTAGATGAGATGGTAGAATTACTGGACTTTTGAA